TCACACACTGCTTAACCAAATGGGACTGGCTAAGTAAATCCCCACTGATCAGGATTTTTGCTTTTACTGTTTTGATTAAGTCCTTTGTTTATGAGAATATAAGTATGTTACCTGTTACACAATCCCCCCCAAAAAAGAATATTTGAGGTAACTGTCTGCCTTGATCAAGCTTGTTCCAATACACTGGAGTCCCCACACTGACATTTTAGCTTGTAAGAGATGCTAAATATTTATTATTTTCATTATCAACATGAACCTCCAATATCATTCTCTTTTTTTTTGTTGAGAGTCACTGCTATAATTTGGCTTCTGTGGCATTTGATATAATAGAATGAAAAGGTTTTCAACCTTATTAGCATTCAAAGCACATGGTCTCTTGTGATTTTTTTTTCTCCTTCATAGCAACAATTGGGCAAAGTCATCATAACTACAGTGCATGCATTAAATGAGACCTTAAATCTACCTTCTTCAAAGTGGATGATATATTCCGTAATTTCTCTGTGTCATGAAAATGGTCTGACATTACGTGAGACTTGTGTATTTTTGCAACACCATAGTAGATGAAGGCATACAATAAACCAGAAAATCACTAAGGCCCCTAACAGCAAAGAAAGTAAAATATATAACTGAAAATCAGACACAGGAAAGAGCATGGTGCCCAAGGAACTTGCCAATGTGCTGAGTTTTTCAATTTTCAAGCAGTTACATTATTTCTTCTTCCACGTGGGGTACCCTTCCAACAACAGGGCTTCCAGCTGAAAGGCAGGAGCAGACCGTGGTGGTGAGCAGTTTAACAAGCATTGAGGATGAGGACAGTGGGAATGTTGGTTCAGAGACCCTCTGGAATGGTTTACTTGTCGACCAGATTTGGAGCATCTCACAAGTGTTTTGACAGGATGTTGGGAAACACAAGGAAGTACTAGTGGCTGTATTCCATAACAAGGTAAATCAGAAAGAGGTCTTAGTTGTGAAATTTAGGCTTACAAGTGAAAGCTGAAGTTAAGGACATTCATAGTAGCATAGTCTGAAATTGTTCCACTATGCACAATCAGGGAGAGAAAGATGGAAATGTGAAGCTTTAGATGCCTGGCTGAGAAAAAGCTGTAAGGAGGAGGGATTCACTATATTGGAAACTATTGTGATTCTAGCTGAAAAGTTCAGGAAAATTTGCAGATGTTGGAAAGTACGCAATTCAAAAAAATGCAAAAAAACACATTTCAGATGAAGGGTGCAGTCACCAGAATTCTGCATCTTTCACTGAAGAAGGCTAAAAGGGTGATGATAGTCCAGTAGAAAATGCAGAAATGGTAGATCATACAGAATGAAACTAGGATCTGGTAAACACGAGAAAGAAAGCCACAATATAAAGGCAAGGGTTAAAATGGGAACTAATACGGGTAGCTTTAATGCCTGAATGTTAAACAAGAATATCAGCATAATAGGCATCTCTGAAATCTATGGGAAAGAAAAAAATCCGTTATGCAGTGCAGTACCAAAGAGCAAGGTACAAAGGAAATGCAAAGTAAACCTTATCAATGGAGGGATAACAATGGTTGTTAAAGGAAGCTCTAAGCCAAATACAACTTAAAGAAGAGGCCAGTAGTAACACTGACTAGTCAAGAAAAGTTCTTTAGTTCTCCTGAATTTTAGAGCAATTACAATGAGTTTAAATGCAGTATCTGTGCAGGAGCAATAAAAGCCAAAATTACAGGAGGGTTGTACTAAGTTAAATTAAAAAAAAAAAAAAAGAAATAAATAAAACTGAAGGATATTGCTATAAAGTATCTGAAAGGGATAGCTGAGACAGTTAAATCATTGTGAGTGGTGTGGCTGCTATCTCGGGACACCATTTTGAAGACCCACAGCAAATACAGAGCACCCATTAAAAAGCAAGTCAGTAAGGGTAAATAACATAGCTAATAAAAGCAGGAACACATCTTTCAAAAAAATGAAGCTGTGCCTCAGTAAGAACAATAGAAAGAACCATAAAATCTGCCTTATCTATAAAACCACAATAAAGAAGACAAAAAATGAGTTTCAATAAATCTCTGGCAAACAAGCTAATAATAATTGTCTTTTAAAGACATCTAGAGTCAAAAGCCTGAGAGGAATTGTGTGAAGTCGATACCAAAATTGAGATACAGCAGAAATGCTCAGAGAAGATCACAAATGTAAAGCTTAATACATTTTTTTTTCTTTGTGTTCAGCATATGAATATCTGGGGATTGTTTTCATCCTGGAACCCATCTTTATGGGGGACTCACGAGAAGGTTAAAGTAGCTATAGAAGCAGTTCTGGAATGAACAGACACAACAGTAACACATCATTGGGATTAGCTGTTACATGCCCAAGAGCCTGAAAGATGGAATAAGTGTACTATTATGATGTGTATTATTTTGCTTCAAACCACTGTGGCACATGAAGGCTTGGAGGTGCTAATATAACACTGATTTTTTTCACCAAAGATTTCAAGAGTGTTTGGGGGATCTAAGAATTGATATGACTGACATGAACAGGGCAAAACAGTAAAAGCAGGATTAATAGACCCATAGTGAATATCCCATACTGAAAAAAACTCAATAAAGCTTTTCTAAATGAAGTTCACATTTTGCAATGCTTTCTGCATTCTTTAAAGAAGTCAATATGTAGAAAGATAGTTAGGAATGTATTCAAAACACATGAAGGGAGGCTGTTTGTTGTGCAATATATGATGAATCTCTGGACCTCACTAACGTCAGATGTTGTGGACTCATACACAAATTTCAATGCAATGGGGCAAACTGCTGTAAGAAATACCCATTGTTTGTTAACAAAATCACAGAATTATAGAATGGTCTGGGTTGGAAGGGACCTTGAAGATCATCTAGTTCCAAACCCCCTGCCATGGGCAGGGACACCTTCCACTAGGTAGGGATGGGGTACCCACAAAATCTCTGGGCAACCTGTTCCAGTGCCTCACCACCCTCTCCATTAAGAATTTCTACCTGTTATCTAATCTAAACCTCCCAAATTCAATTTAAACCCGTTATCCCTTGTCCTGTCACTACAGGCCCTTGTAAAAAGTCCCCCCCCAGCTTCCTTGTAGCCCCTTCAGGTACTGGAAGGCTGCAATAAGGTCTCCCCGGAGCCTTTTCTTGCCCAGGCTGAACAAGCCCAACTCTCTCAGCCTTTCATCACAGCAGAGGTGCTCCAGCCCTCTGAGCATCTTCATGGCTTCCCCTGGACTTGATCCAACTGGTCTATCTCCTTATGTTGAGGGCACCACAGCTGGACACAAGTACTCCAGATGAAGTCAAACGAGATCAGAGCAGAGGAGGAGAATCACCTCCCTCGACCTGCTGGCCACACTTCTCCTGGTACAGCCCAGGATCCAGCTGGCCTTCTGGGCTGCCAGCGCACACTGCCGGCTCATGTTCAGCTTTTCATCCACCAGTACCCCCACGTCCTTCTCCTCAGGGCTGCTCTCTATCCATTCTCTGCCCAGACTGTACTTGTGCTTGGTATGACCCCAACACAGGTGTAGGACCTTGCACTTGGCCTTGTTGAACTCCATGAGGTTGGCAGTGGCCCACCTCTCCAGCCTGTCCAGGTCCCTCTGGATGGCATCCCTTCCCTTCCCTCCACCCTGTCAACTGCACCACACAGCTTGGAGTCATCGGCAAACTTGCTGAGGGGGCACTCAATCCCACTGTCCATGTCTCTGACAAAGTTGTTGAACAGCATCAGTCCAAATACTGATCCCTGAGGAACCCTACTTTTCACTGGTCTCCACTCGGACATTGAGCCACTGACCACAACTCTCTGAGTGCAATGATCCAGCCAGTTCCTTATCCACTGAGTGGTCCATTTGTTAAATCCATGCCTCTCCAATTAAGATACAAGGATGTCATGCAGGATAGTGTCAAATGCTTTGCACAAGTCCAGGTAAGTTGTTAAATATGAAGACACTATCTGGGCTAAAAATCATTAGAAACTGAAGAAATGTTCTGGAGTACTGTTTGGCCTGTTCTTATGTATACCCTCTAGATGTCAGTGTAAGAAGCAGAATGTAGGGACAAATGGATCTTTTTTTTAACGTGGTCATTCTTACATGATTGTAGAAATGCTCTATGTTCTCATATTGAGGAAAAGAATAATATTTATATGAGATAAATCTTTGAAGTTTCAGGCGTGGTTTGTTACCTAAGGAGCATTTATAAGACATAAAGTGAGATTACAATCCATTTGCAAGAAATAAGATACAACGTAAAAGGCTGCCATGATCTTCATGCAAATTCACATGAATGTTCTAATATGAATTTGCCTTACTAACAACTTTTAACAGCTAATTGTTTTGGCATATTTATCAAGGTTTATGCTTGATTAGTGTCTGCATTTCGAAGGTATCAAATATACAAATCTTCAGTAAATTTAAGGAGAGCATTAAGCGACAATCCTGCTAATCATACACAAACGAAAGTATTTGAATTAGCATACTTCTGAAAAACCTCATTTAAAGAAATTGATATGAAATGTTATAAATTTTCAGTGGATGATCGCAGTTTTGAGGCTCTAAGTGTTTTCAAGGGCAGATATAATCTTCTGGACAAAGATGTGTAAAAAATCTGTTCCTGGTTATCCTAACAACAATGCTTAGCGTGACCCAGTTCTACCTTTGGTACCTGGAAGGCTCAGGTTATAACCTTTGGTCATTTGAAGGGGATCATTCAGTTTCCCTTGACAAAGTAGTATTTCCCAAATAATTTTTAAATTGCAAGTGAAAATGAACTCTCAGGCTCAGGCTGGTCTTATGGAATGATGATATATTTCCTTCTAAACATTCAAAATTCATACTTTCAAATTCAGCTTCATAGTATTAAAAAAAACCCCAATGATATATTCTAATTTTTTTCATCACATACTGTTCTTCCTGGATCTCAATTCCTTATCTAAAGGATTTTTTACATTACTATTTTCAGTCATGCTTATTGGAAAATTAGTGCATTTGGAATACAACATACTCTTAGGAAACCTGGGTGGGTTGTCATTGACATCCGTGAGAGTAATGTTTACAGTGGTAGTACCAGCTAGTCCTCCCAGCTGTCCTCCCATGTCCTTGGCTTGGATTAGAACTTGATACTGTTCTTTTACTTCTCTGTCCATATTTGGCAAAGCTGTTCTTATTACACCTACGAGAAGAGATGGGAAAGAGAAAGAACAAGTGAACAAAGGGTTGTGGTTGTCTCCTATTACATTTTAATACTGGATCTCTTGGACCAGAAATGTAACTCTCAAAAGGGGGTTGATGAGGGAGGAGTTCACACAGAAACATGCAAATCCCTCAGGCTTTTAAAACTGTGCTTGTCGGCTATTTGAGCATTGAAAACGACTGCTGTGTCTTTTCAATAAGGACATGAAAGGCTGAAAGAGAATGGTGCATTTTCACTGGGGATATGAATGGCATGAACGTAGCTTTGGCACATTGGGACTGACGAACGCTGCATTGTGCGGAGTAGGGCAATATGGGAAGAGGTGATGATGCATTTCAGGGCCTGCATCTTCAGCTGCTTCCAACCAGCCACTTGCAATCTCAGTTAAGCTACTGCACGCCAAGACTATTCTTTCTGTACAAAAGACTCCGTTTAGAAAGCTTTTTTGATAGGCTTTTCTTAAATAAATATAATTAAAATATCATGGTAAGACATTACCTAAATGACTCTTACTCTTCAGTGATTATGGATAGTTGACATCTAAATAGGTATGCCATAATCTCCCTGCTTGTATGTTAAAAATATATATGATCAAAGGAAGACTTGTAGAGAGAGGTACTACTGATCATAGGATTAGCTTGAGGTTGTAAGAAGCTGTAAGGTTTTGGTCACTACTTCTCTTGAAACCAAATGTAGAGGAAAAAAATACATTTCTTTTTCATAAATTTAGAAGTGCAAAATGCTATATATTCAGCAATAATTTTCAGAAAATGCCCAGGTGCACATTGCATGCAAAACTGAAAAATAAACCAATTGGAAAGATGCTTCTCCTCTAGTTATTATTGGGTTACAACTTTTTTTTCCCCCTGGTATTAAGCCATATGGGTTTAAAAGTAGTCTCTTTCCCCTGGTATTTTAATGGGCCTGGAATGTTAAGAAAGAAACTTTAAGGGTCATTTTTATCTTTATAGTAACTAACCGCTGCTGTTAACAAGTAAGAATAGGATTCTTTAACTTATAGTACTTTTTCAGAGCCTAGAAATAACTTTGACCTAAATCTGCTATTTCTGGAACGTACTAAAAATTCTCATTGAACTGAACTGTATAACAAATTCTTTTCTGTCTACTTGTTAAACTAGTGATGATAACGACAACTTTAGTAAGAACTACTGTTTTCTATCTCAGCATGCATCTGGAATATGAGTAAGAAATACTTAAGGACATTTAGATACTGCAATACTATTCTTTTGAGCATATGAAACTCTTCCCCCCGCCCCAAAAACCCCAAAACCAAAAAACAACCAAACAAAAATACAACAAAGCGCGGTGTTCAATGCTTCGTTTGTTCCAGACAGAAATCTTGAACTGTAAAATTATAAAAATCTGTTCACATTCATGTGATAATCAGGAAAAAATACTTTCATAACTAGAATGTACATTACTAGTTTTCCTCTTGAACCACTTAATCCATATTTTTGCATTGTGAAGCCTGTGTGTTCCACAGTATTTTACAACATCCTTGCTATGCTTATTCTAAGGAGGAAAAAGCTATGAGAATTAAAGACTTCCTTTAATATGCTAGCAAAACAAAATAACACCAAGTAGAAAAAAAAAGATGAGCAGATAGTAGGTGTTGAGCAGGAGATATAGTTCATCTGATTGCTTGACCTATTTTAGGTAAAACTGAGTGGTGTTCTCAGAAATATTCCAGATGGCCTTCAAAAAATTAAAAGTTGGCTATCACTCCAGTAGTAAAGTTCCCAATCACCCACTGTTTATTCTTGTCTGGAATTCTAAGGGCTTTCTGTACATTTTTCTTTAAAAATCTTTGTCTTCAGCAAAAATATCAATGCGAATAATTTTCATGTCTAGTAATTCATAGGCAATTTTCCCTTTTCTACCTACTCTATTTCAAAAACAGAAAAAACTCTGAAAAATACTATTTCTACCAAAATCTTTAGTTCATATGGAAAGGAAAAACGTGATTTAAATTTATCTTAGCAGCAAAATAGAAAAATAAAATGGAGGTAAAAATCCTTGACAAAGAAAGGACTTAAAATTTTGGTAGTTTTCCTCTTCAAAAACAACATCCAAAATTTAAATCAAAGGTTTGCTATAATGCAGAGGTCTTAACAAGTAATCATTTACAAGTTACTTAACAAGTTACTTAACAAGTAATCATTTTCTGAGTGTTTTTAAGTCTTTCTACATTAAGATTTTACAATAAAGATTGTTCAGCTCCAGAACTGAATAGCTTTGTTGTTTGGTTTTTTTTTTCCTTTGCAAATGTTATCAATATCAAATGGGCAGAAAAGTATGGTCTCGAAGAGGCTGCTGAAAATTGAAATAGTATGTATGGGATCTGGTCCAAATGATATACTCTGCAAAGTTACTGAGCCATAATTCAACAGGAGATGATCCACTTATGGAAGACAAAATCTAGGTTCTGTGAAAAATCTCCTCAACAAATATTAGTATCACTACTCTTTCTGACACCAATTTGGATTTCAAGAATATAACTGAAGTCAGAGTATGGACTAGAACACCGAGTCTAAGAAACAAACTGGAGACATCTAGCCATAAATAAGAATATGGACCTCATAAACAAATCACTAAATTGGGTGGAAAGAAATTTGTCAAAATGATCACTGAGTAACAGAACATATCTGTCTTATTAGAAGTGCTCTATGTTAAAGAAGACTCACAGTAAAATTAGAAGAGCAATTTCATGGCATCAAAAAATAACCCTGACATTTAAGTCCTTAAAAGTGCCAGTCCAACAGCTGCTCTCCAGCAGGGACTGTAATGCATTTAACCTTCCTTCAGGAGCAGTAAACCTAGCTTTCCTGCTTCAACATAGTTCGCTTTGCTCCAAGAAACTTCTGCAAAAAATCAGGAGGTCAGTAAAGAAGAGGTGTAAGGGAAAGTTGTGACATTCTGACCCATAAGTGTTAAAAACTATTTAAGTGTACTAGATTCATATCAGAGTAAATGTTTACCACTTCCTAGGAATGATTTGAAAAAGGAATATTTGTAAAGTCATGTGCATGCCAAACATAATCCTTATTTCACATATAAAGTTATGGTCAGTGGTTTCACCATTACCACTTTGCGATGAGATCTTAGGGTAGTAATAGAAATTTCCACAAACTTATCAGCTTTTATGTGGCAGAAGCTAAAGAGTAAACAGAATATTTGGAAATGTTTAGAAAGGAATAAAGAACAAAAGTGTTATGATTAAACCATTTTACACATTTGTATAAGCTTCATACTTGAATACTATGTGCACTTCCTTGTCCCAAGAAGGAAAAGAAGGATGGTAAATGCTATGGAATGGCTTCTGTTAAAAGAAGTCTTCCATCTAGAAAAGAGGCAACTGGTGGAGAATATGGGTCTATAACATCATAGGGAACTAATAAATATGAACTGACTGTTTGCTGTCTCGTACAATGTGTGAGACATGAAATAAGTTAAGAGGTGTGACATTTCAAAGAAGAAAGAGGAGCTGGTTCTTCATGTAAAAAAACCCATTTGTTGTGGAATTTCTAGTGTGTGCGGATACTGTACTCCTGGACAGGTCAACTACACTAGGAAGTGGACAAGTTATGGAGGTGTATTGGGTTATTGTGGCAAGGCACAATAGAGGGGGGCAGAGAAGGCTGCAGGGGTAGCTTCTCTGACAAGCTGCTAGAAGCCTTCCCTCTGTCCAGTGGAGCCAATGCAGCCAGCTCCAAGAAGGACCTGCTGCCCTTCTCTGACAAGCTGCTAGAAGCCTTCCCTCTGTCCAGTGGAGCCAATGCAGCCAGCTCCAAGAAGGACCTGCTGCCAGCAAGGCCAAAGCCAATCAGCAGCATTCATAACACCTCTGTGATAACACGTTTGAGAAGGGTGAAAAAACACAAAAGAGAGTAGATTTTGCAGACAAAGAGAATGAGTGAGCAAGATGCGAGAGAGAACTCTGCAGACATCAAGGTCAGTGGAGAAGGAGGGGGAGGAGGTGCTCCAGAGACCGAAACAGAGTTTTCCAGCCCATGGTGCAGACCATGGTGAGGCCGGCTGTGCCCTGCAGCCTTGAAGGGCCATGGGGGAGCAGAGACCCGCCTGCAGCCCAGGGACTATCCCACGGTGGAGCAGGGGGATGCCCAAAGGAGACTGTGACCCTGTGGGAAGCCCACACTGGAGCAAGCTCATGGTAGGACCTGTGGCCCCACGGGGGCCCACACTGGAGCAGTCTGCTCCTGAAGGACTGCAAGCTATGAAAAGGACACATGCTGGAGCAGTTCCCGAAGAACTGTAGCACATGGGAAGGACTCACATTGAAGGTCATGGAGGACTGTCTCCTGTGGGAGGAAGCTCATGCTAGAGCAGGGGAAAAGTGTGAGGAATTCTCCCTCTGAGTGGCAGAGAAAATGTGTGATGAACTGATCATAAACCCCATTCCCCATCTCCCTGTGCTGCTTGGGGGGAGTAGGTAGAGAAAATAAGAGTTAAATTGTGCCCAGAAAGAAGAGAGGGTTGGTGGCAAAGGTGTTTTAAAATTTGGGTTTAGTTTTCTTTTTATTCTGATTTCATTGGTGATTAGTAAAATTACATTTTTCCCCAAGTTGAGTCTGTTTTGCCCATGACAATAATATCTTAATGATCTCTCCCTGTCCTTATCATGATCCCAAGCTTTTTGTTCTATTTTCTCTCCCCTGTCCAGCTAAGGAGGGAAGTGCTAGAACAACTTTTGTAGGCACCTGGCCTCCAGCCAAGGGCAACCCACCACAGGACAAGAAATCCATTCAGAGTTTTAGTTACATGGACAATGTTAATCACCCAGGAACTTCATAAGAACAAGTTGTTGAAGACTTGATTATTTAGGGGGTGCATCAGTAACCCCTTCTTTTATCCTTCACTAGTGCTGAACAGGTCATCACTGTTGAAAACACGATACGGCGCATCATGGACCTTTGGTCTGACGTAGTATGGAAGCTCTTAAGTTCTTTAAATAACCACAAGGGAATGTCTCAAAATTGTCACTGGAAAGCAAGAGACAGCCAAAAAATTCAACCACAGCAACCCAAAAAATACTTATCCATCTGCAGGGGTTCCGAGTTTATCTGTCATTTTGTACCAAAATGGTTTTCTTACCCTTATCTTTCAAAACACTCAAGGCAGGTGTCTGGCAGTAAAACTCTGCACTTAAAAACCCATGTATCATCTTCTCAGTTATAAAATAAAGGATTGGAAGTGCCAGAAGATCTGTAGTGCTGCCCAAGACTTCTGGATTTTAGAGAAAATCATTAAACAGCATCCTGTGCACTAATAATAACATACTGTTCATCTCTACAGTCATCGTTAGACCCACCGGTTACCCTCATATTGTGACCTTTCTTAATGTAAGACATGTTACGGCACATTTTTGTTGCTCGTAGAAACATGAATCTACATGCTTTTTTTTGGTATAGGATTTTAAACTTCACTGGGCTAGGTGTTTCACGAATATTCCTTTACAGCTGTGTCCATTCTTTTACAACTAAGGTCCAACTGAGTAACTCATTAACGATATTGGAGATATGTGGAAACACTGGGATTGTATGATGTTCCAGTAGGGTGCAGGGCATGACCTGTTGTCGACTCACTACTCACTATGAGTAATAGGTGAGAGCTTATGATACACCAATTCAAAATGCATGGGAAAAGAGTTTTTCAAGTACTAATAACTATTATTTTTTTTCTTGGGAAACCTGTGCTATAACTCCAATTGTGACTTCAGTAAAGGTTTTTCCCACCATTAAAATCTCCCTCATTCTTTACAAGACTGAAATAAAAAGGTAAGTATAAAGGTAACTTTTTTGTCTCCCGGGCATTTGAAGAAGTCCCATTTCACTTTAATAAGTAAAGTTGGTCACTGAAAATTGCAATACAATCTTCTGCTAAATGGAGCATGTGACAAAGGAATGTGCCCATTGGAGAGAGTTCCCTAACAGTTTTATGAGGCTCTCACCCCTAAACTATTGATTGATCAGGGATAAAGACTCTTTAACACACAACCTGACATTCAAGTACAGCTTCACTGGAAGGAGAAACTATTTGCTGAAAGGGGCATATAGACAACCATCCCTGTAGCACATTCAGGATGACACAATGCATGTCATTCACCATGTAGGTTATTGGCTCCTTAAGTGAATTACTAAATATAGGAACAAGAATGACATTTTGAAATATGGGAAAAGATACCTAATTAACATGTCTACAAACCTCCCAAATACTTCAGTCTCTTTAAACATATTACCCTTTTCTGCTCACACATCAAGTAACCCCAGACAAACATACTATGCCCTAGGACAAGAGGAGGGAAGGAGATGATTAGCTGTTTCACTCTCATATTAGCTCTATAGAGCAAAACAATCACTGCTAGAGAATTTCTGACTGTAAGTTCAGTAAGTAAAAAAGAATGTAGACCCAAGATACACAACTGAATCATCAGGAAAAAAAGAGAAAAAATAGAATGCATGTAGCAGTTAAAGCTTTAGCCATATAGGAATGGTAAAGCATAAACAAACAAAACCCCAGAAATTCAATGTATACATATTTTAGATATTCCAGGACTGATTGGGGGACCATGTTTCTTTTGTTTCTACAACAGATTGTAATTAATTAAAAAACTAGCCAATACTCAACACTGAATCATGCTGCGAAATTACTCCATTGGCTTTTGGCCATATCAGTCCAGTCCACATTTATTCATTGATCCTGCCCACATGAATCAAAATCCAAAGTTTAAATCTTCCACTGTTGCCGATGAACTACTTACCTGTCTTTGGATCAATGGAGAAATACGGCTGCCCCTGAAGAATGCTGTAAACCACTCTAGCACTGTTTCCGTAAGTGGGATCATCAGCATCTGTTGCTTTTACTTGAAGGACATATGCACCTATGAAGGAGCACAGGTAATCACATTTTCAGTATAGAGCAGAGATCAGAGATATTTCAGACACATGATTCTTGTTGCTAGTGTATTCTGCTGTAATTCTTATTCCACTGGAAACAAGGTGAGAATAAAGCCATCTTCAGCTCCCTAGTAGCAACCATCTCTGTGACAGTTGAAGGGAAGGAAAGGGAAAGAATCCCACCATCAGAAGATATTTATAACCAGTTTATGATGCATTATTTATAAAATCTTTTTACCCGACACATATAGGATGGAGGCCTGATGAAGCACAATACTGGATTTTGAAAACGAGTATGCCCCACATTTTTGTGAAAAGGTTGACAACTGTGGAAATAAAATATCTGAGTTGCCTTTTAAAGATTAATTTGGTCAAGTAACTCCTGAATCTTCCAGTGAGCCAATCTATAAGTACTTTAAAAAACTATACAGCAATATCCTAAAGGTAGAATTCACATTCCCATTGCAGAATGAAATTAAGTGTTCAGTTAAGCCAGTTGTCTACAAAATCCAGACTTGAGTCTTCTTCCCTTTCCAATATAGCTCAGTAGGAAACAAAAGTACTGCGGAAGAAGAACCTCCCCTTGATATTTTCAACCATGGTTATGAACTAGACCTCGTGCAGTTTGGTTTATATTCCAACTTAAAGGAGACTCATTCCATGGAGCAAAAAAAAATGCATGAGGGCAGAAAACTCACTGCAAATGGCCATAGTCTTGCAGAAAAGTCTTGCCCCTCCTGCTAGTTGCTATGCAATTTACCTGCATTTCCCCACTGCCCCATAATGAAAACAATGTTCAAACTAAAGTCTTCAGCAAAACAAACAGCCACATATTTAGGCTTTTCTGTCAGATTTGAAGTTTCCTATGATTTTCCGTCCAAATAAATGTTGGAATTTGCAGTGCTGATTTGGATTGAGTGAGAAACAGCAGAGGGAAGTGGGTTATCTGCACAGGTTTTGTTTAAAGTCAGGTTCTGCATTTGGAGGTCATCTGACATTTTTTTCTAGCATATTCATGGAATATTGCAAGTGCATCAAGACTGCTGTTTTTCTGTAATGAAACCCTGCAAGTTTCAAAGGATATTCACAACCTAAAATTAACCTTAATGGACTTGTCAAAGTTTATTTCTGGGAATACCTCACCAAGAGATGCTCCATGTGAAAGGTCCTATGCCTTAGGAAAGTAACTCATAGCGAAGGTAGCTGTTTGGATGACTTTTATTTTCAGTGTCCCCCCCCATTTCTGTATGTGAGGATTGACAGTGATGCTGAAGGATTTGAATTAATATTGTAAAATACTTGCTGCACGATGGCTGGTCATACAAGACTCTTGCTTATTGAACCATAGAGAATGAAAAGGTATTCCAAGAGATATTCTTTCTATCTCCTGAACAAGAAACAGAAATGTAAGCGCTATTTGACTAACAATCTCTTTTTAAAGTCAATAAACTGATCACGTTTTTAAGCTTAGGGCAAGTTTCTTTAAAATCAACTTCTAAAAGAAAGAAAATATTAGTAATGAATAAATGAATGAAAATAAACCATTGAGATGGATTCAGTTAACTAAAAGCCTGAGGTTAGTCTCTTAATTTTCTGGATGTGAAAAGTGATGAATGATATGTGTTAAAGACCACAGTCCAGGTTTTGTGTAACAACTGTGGAAGTGGTGCCTACTGAAACATTTATGCCTTTCTTCACGTAACACATACCCACAACTGACTATACCTTAAATAGCTTAGACAAGGCAACCTGGAGAAATACATTTTCCTACCGGAATGACAGACAGAAGCTATCTAGTACCTGTAGAGCATTTGATGTCTTCCACCTGTTCCTGTCCACAAGTAATATTTTTGTAATAGGATCTCTCACTTTCAGGCCTGTCTTCTGCTCCAGAAATTTAGGGAGTCACAGCACGAACTTAGTTCTTCTATTCCATTGAGCAAGATGGTGAAGGAAATTATAGCTTGTATATTTTTTCCCCTCATCCTTTGAAAAACACAAGTTCACTGTACGTGCTACCTTTGGACCTTACTGTTTGTGCTGGTTTTGGATGGTACAGAGTTAATTTTCTCACAATACAGCATATGAAGCTATTTTTTGGATTTGTGTGGAGAAAAATGTTGACAACATACTGATGGTTTTAGGTGTTGTCAAGCAACATTTATATTAAACTAAGGACTTTTTTAGTTTCTCATACTGCCTCTGTCCTTCTTTACAAAAAGCTGGGAAGACAGTCAGCTGGGACAGCTGACCAAACTGATCAAAGGGCCATTTCATGCCATCAATCATCATTCTTGGATGCTTGGTATATAAACTGGGGGAGTTGGCTTGGAGGGGCAGTTGCTGCTCAGGGACTGGCTGGGTGTCAGATGTCCAGTGGTAAGTGGTTTTATCTTTTTTTTTTCCCCTTCCTCTTTTCCTTTTTTTTCTTACATTTGATTATTATTAGTAGTAGCAGTAATAGTAGTATTTTCACTACATTGTAGTAGTAGTAGTATCATTATTTGATTTAATTTATTTTCAATTACTAAACTTCTCTTATCTTTTTCCTCTGATTCTCTCCCCCATCCCACTGGGAGAGGGGGGAGGTGAGCAAGAGGCTGTGTGGTGCTTAGTTGCTGACTGGGGATAAAGCACGACACTGTTGTGGAAGAAAAAGGGAGATCTGTTCCTTCTGGAGCAATTACACTGACAAAACATGTCATGTTCACTTACAGTACAGCATCCTTCCCTCCTATACACATAATTGCCTTTCTTCATTGCTACAACATCTCACTATTATTCCAATCTTAAAAATTCCACCTACTTATTCTACTGAAAAGAAATGCTACATTTTAACATATTTGTCACCTTCTTTCTTCCCTACCATATTGTTCAGTCTTTCACTGTGTTGTGACATGAGACTGGTGAGTTTTGCTCCCCTCTGAAGCGGCAGAGCCAAGCATCAGATTCCCAGATGCTGAAGTCTGCGCTGGAACATGGTGACTGAGTGCTCTGGCTGACAAGTATACTTTTTCGTGACTGGTTTAAGGCAACAGCCTGCACTTTTGCAAAAAAAAAAAAAAAAAAAAAAAAGACAGTGCTGTCACGTATTCCCAAGTCTCCCCTAGGACCAGAACTCATGTTTCTTTTGCTACAGTGGTTGCTACTTCAGGGACCTGGTTTTAGCTTGTCTACTGAGTATGAATTGACAACATTTTGTCATGTTACCAAAACTTTTGCTTTACACCTTGAAAGGAGCAACATTCTCCATAATAGAACAGGACAGGCAGACCAAGATTTACAATTGCAAACGCAGGAAGTTAAGCTCCTTTTCATGTGCCCTTATTTTCTGAACTGCTAAGCACTGAGAAGTCTTACCAAAGGTCAGCATTTAAAAAACTAATGTTTCTGGACAGCTACCCACACCACCTACCTTCTCACAAGTCATCAACAGAGAACTTGCAAACACCAAAACAAAGACCTCTCCAACCCTTGAGATTTCTCATAGGAACAGCAGATCTGTCACACAGAGCACTGGCCATCACCCCAAGAGGGCAAATCATGTATTTTACTACTGACTGTTCATGTCTGCTAACTTTGGACAACAAAAGTAGGCAGTTAAAAGTCTCCTGAAGTCAGGCAGTGAGAAAAACCTTATGTTACATGATACTGTTAAAATCAATACTTTTGTAGTCCTTCTGGACTTCAGGATGTATCATCTTTATGTATTTTGCTTCATTGCAGCTCACTTGCAAATTGAGAACACCACGTAAGTCTATGTGCTAGATCTTTCGAAATAAAAAAAAGAATTTTAAACCTAATAGGGTACTGATCTTGAGTTTTCAAATCACTATTAACTGACACATTGAATCTGCAATGAGACAAAATAAATCATAGATGTGATTTTATTATAAGGAAATTATACAAAAAGAAAAAGATTGTGCCTTTTAAGTACTTAAGCTGTTAGTTAAATACTAATGCTTATTTTCTATCCATTTCAGTTACAAATCTGCACCTGTATTTCTCACTACCAGAACTTTTCTTTTACTCCTCAGAAGCACATTTCAGGAAAAAATAATTACAGTGTACTTTGAAGTGGACTGTAAGATATGTTAGGTTGCTATGTCAGGTCATATTCAGAAGGCAGATTCAACTCTGGTAAAAAAATGGTGGAACCTTTTACTTATGGAAACATATACTTCAAGAACTTTTTACCTTTGTAGAAGCAGATTAATTTATTAATTTATTTGCAGAATTATAGATAAAATACCAACTCATCTATTTAGTATTTTACTCAATCAAGTCAATCAAAATACCTAGAATAAATCTGACTTTGACTCTTTATGGTTAAATGACATTTCATTATTGTTGTTATAAAAGAGAAGAAGGGGAAAGATGATCTGTATTTAATAGATTAAAAATTATTTATATTTAATCTCATTATGCCTACATTTTTATGCACGTGGTAAATTAAGTTCTGTTCAGATCTGCAATAAGAGATAACCCACAACAAAAAGTCCTACGCAGTGAATACAATACATCAGCATGACACGGAATTAGTGTAATTCATTATTTCATTATTATCATAATAATTATTTCATTCATTATTTCATTATTATCATAATAATTCATTATTATTTAAGATCTTTGTGGGGAACATGGACAGAGGGATTGAATGCACCCTCAGCAAGTTTGTTCATCACACCAAGATTAATAATGTGGTTGATACTGTAGAGGGAAGCGTTGCCATCCAGAAGGAACTTGACAGGCTAGAAGTAGGCCCATGTGAACCTCATGAATGAAGTTCAAGACCAAGTTCAAGGTCCTGCAGCTGGGTTGGGGCAAGCCCAAACATGGATACAGCCTGGGTGATGAGTGTATTGAGGCACTGGAGCAGGTTGCCCAGAGAAGCTGTGGATGCCCCATCCCTGGATGTCTTCAAGGCCAGGCTGGATGAGGCTTTGAGCAACCTGGTCTAGTGGAAGGTGTCCCTGCCCATGGC